TGGGGTTGGGGCTGGGGCTGGGGCTGGGGCTGGGGTTGAGGAAGGCTGGGCTGGGGGCAGAACTGCCCCTACAGCAGGGGCCGCTCCTCTTCCTTTGCCTCCTTCCTGCACAAACCAAACGTGTGACGCTGCTGCTGGGGCTGGGGCTGGGGCTGGGGCTGGGGCTGGGGCAGGGGCTGGGGCTGGGGCTGGGGCTGGGGCTGCTGTTGCTGCTGCTTTTCTTTCCCCACCCCACCCTTCAGTGTCTCTTCTTCCACATCCCCTGGGACATCTCAAACTCTCACCACCCTAAGCCTGGACACTGTGCCAAGAATCTTGGCCATTGTGTAAACTGATACAAAAGGCAGAGCAAGCTCTCCTGTCACTTAGAAGGTTCTGACTCATACAAGCCAGGAAATGCAGGGTCCAGAAGAGAGAGACGCAAGCCACTCCCTCTTCACCAGTGATAAACCTTCCCCATCTGCTTTCTTTTCCTGGAGGCCAGGGGCCAGCCCCCTCTCCAGCCAGGGGAGCCAGCAGCAAAGTAGACTGGAAGGGGGCAGGTGCCAGGCAGGGCCAGAGGTGCCACAGTGAGCTGTGACAGAGGCAGAAACAGCAGAGTGCTGAAGAAAGCCAAGGGATAGAGAAGGAAAGGAAGGAAGAAAGGACTCTGGTAGAGCAAAAGAGCTCCATCACCTCTCCTACCGCTGGCTCTATTGGGCCTGGTTCATTCTGAATAAATTTCAAAACAATAAAGTTTTAATCAAACTAGATAGGTTCTCATTCTGTTAATGTTGATGTCACTGCTATCGTAAGTTAGCATTGGTGGAACGCTTCATAAAATGGCTCGAACATTAGCAAACAGTCAATAAATGTTACTTGCTTTATTGTTGCTATAAACAGCTGACGGAGAAATGTAAATGTGCAGTCAATAAGGTGTTCTGCCATCCAGCCCACACATACCCAGGTGGGCTGATATATTCCTTTGCATCAACTGCCTCCTTGGGCAGTGGTAGATCCAACTTCACTCCTTCTACCACACTTCAGGTCTTCTGGAACATTCAACCAAATGGAAGGGTTTCTACTTTGCCATCCTGCCCACTTGCTAATACTTAACCCACAGTCCGGCTTCATGCAATCTTAAGAAACTTTGATGGGAAAGAAAAGCATAGCACAGCATACACCATCAGTTGAGGCACTCAGCTCGAGGTGCCCGGTCCACTTTTGGCTCACAGCCACAATCCACGTGGGAAATGCTAGTGGTGGGGGTGGTGGCTTTTTAAGCATTTCATGTAAGCAGCGCCTCCAGCTCCACAGCACAGAAGCCAAGGGGCCCCTTTATCTGAGACTTTTGTTATTACTAACAAAACAGTAATAAAAAATGTCTTAGGCCGCAAGGCCAAATTAAAAATTATACTTCCCACATTTCTGAAAGGATCTGTTTTTTAGTGAAGGGGGAACTAGGCCCCACACAGTCTAATAACTTGCCCCAAGTCACATGAGAAGTGACAGAATTCCAGCCTGGGCCCCAAGCTCCTTGCAAGGCAGTCTTTAAATAGACACAGCAGATAAAGGCGAGGTGGCCGGGCTGGAAGTGGGTACGATTCACAGAGAGGGAACTATCAGATGCTAATCATGTCAGAAGAGGATTTAGATGAAGCTAAATGGAGCGGCCTGTTGGGTCCCTCTTGATGCCAGTGTTCCCTGTTTATGTCATTTTGGTCCTTGGATAGATTGTAGGGGATTAAATTCCAACCAGGTAAGGTTTAAACAACCCTGTAAATCCTAATGTGCACTTTAAGGATTTGTTGCCTGGAGTACGTTATACAGCAGAAAGGCAGAAATCATCTGATGAATCTCAGGCAATTCTTTATGAAGCCTAATGTGTGGTGCCCAGTGAGTATTTGTGTCATAATACAATGTAAATAATTTACCAGCACACGGCAAGAGTGTCTTCATTTAAGGTTTAGGGTAACAGCCTTATGAGAAGGGGAGGGAAAAAACGAAGCTTTTAACAAAACGTCTTTAAAGTGTTTAGCTGCATTCTCTAGCGTTAGAAGAAATTTGCTTTTGTTTTGTCAACATAATAAACCAGGGCTCTGTTACAACAGAGACTTAAAAAAATACCAATTTTAGAATACTGGATGAGCACTCCAAGAACATCACCTTTTAATACATTTGGAAAAAAAAATTTTGGCAAAAGACCAAGTTCATCTGCAACACGGTTAGCAAGAAATACATTGGTCTTGATTTTCAGAGAAACACTACTCGCTTACGCCAGAACTATTCCAACTGTCAAGGAAAATCATTGACTTCTTGGTTGCCAATCTCACACACTTGTTCTTCATAAACCCCATCACTGAGCTACACTGGCCAGAACATTAAGGAAGAGGACCAAAAAAAAAGGGGGGGTGGCGGGAAGGGGTCATATTCCTTTATTCATAGGGTCAGACTAAGGTGCCCCTCACCCCTATGAGTAAGAGCTTTCTGGACATTCTTAGGTGCATATCTGCAGGATCAAAACAAGAATATTGACATAAGCTCCCTTTAAAGCAAGTGCGGGAGAGGAAGTCCTGCACTCAGGGTGACATGGTATCTCCTCGAGATGATTCCATAGATGGGCCAGCTTTGCTCCAGCGCCTGTCTGTCTTCCTCGTGGGGCTTTAGTCTCAGAGCTCTTGCCACATTCCCACCTCCAACTATTGTGGCCTTCGCCCGCAGGGCTCAGCAAAATGCTTTTGTGAGTCCTGGGAGATTTTCTGGGGCTGTCCCATTGAGACCCATCACATGGGGCTGAGAGCTGCTTGCTGAGGCACCGCATTAGCCTATACAGAAATGCCTTACTCGCAGCTCTGCATCTCTCATTGTCCCTTGGGCAGGGGTACAGCTTATGGGAACCGTTCATGCTGCTTTCTATGGATCTAGAATGTGCGTGTTGTAGGCACATGCAAGACTATCTATGAGCACAGGAACACAGGGCAACACGTTTGGGAGGACACACACACACACACACACACACACACACACACACATCAATGTGCAAGTCTCTAGTCTCCAAGCCACAAACATATTAAAAGCACCTTCACAAAGATATGGATGGGTCTCTTCTGATACATAGTCAGTAAATTCTCATACCATTTCTGCCACCCAGAAAATGAATGTTGATTCAGACGAGAAACCATGGGATCCCCCCCCATTAGCAGTATTTCTTATGGTTTTAGAAAGCAGTTTTTTAAAGCTATGTTGCATACAGCATACATCAACTCTACTGACACCCCAGAATCTACGTACGGAAAAGGCCTGCTGGAGCAAGGACCTCTTCCCTGGACAAGAAGTCACTCTGTATCTGCTCCTTGCTGCCTCTTTCTGTGGATGCTTCAGTTCTCTTTTCTGTGGCCCAGTGGGGCTAAGGAGCCAGGGGACAGGGCTGGAGGTAGCGACTGTCCACTCCCTCTGGTTCTGATGGGAAGGTCTCCAGTGCGGCCTCACCTATTTCTCTGCTGGTGTGGTTATGTAGGAACCCATCACAAAACCCATGGAGAAACACTTTTAAAGAAAATCAAATTGTATACAAGGTAAAGGGGAGGTGACCAAAAGGATGAAGATTAGTTCCTACCTCAAAGTCATTTGCTTTATTGTAGTGCATGTTCAGGGCCCTGTACAGCTCACAGTCTCTGGTTATAGACAGCTCTTCTGTGCTGGTGACTCCGTCGTTGATGGCTTGGCGGGCGTACTTCTCCATCTGAATGTAGTAAAACTCTCGGAAATTGCTAAACCACTTGATCAGCTGAGAGGTAATGCATCTGTTGAACTGTTAAATTCAAATGTTTATGAAAATAAGAATATCACTATTTTGTTCATTTATATTTTAAATATTTGATACATTTCTAAGCTTCCCTCCCCTCTTTACTTGGGAATGTAAGTGCTTGCACCAAAATGTAGCGGAGGGGCAGGGGCAATGAAGTAGGGAGAGGATTACAATCAAATGGATCAGTGTGGGATCAGTGATCAAATCCCACAGTGTGGCCCTCCACATTTTGCACACAAAACTCACACACTATGTCAGATGTTCCTGGAGCTGAATATCTTTTTTTAAAAAAATAACATTGTATTTCGTGTTTCCGTAGTACAAAATGCATCTGCACACTTCTTATGGAAATTCATGCAGGCCACAGACTTCTAGCAAGAGTTGTCAGCCTCAGGTCGGAAAGACGGTGAGCCACAGCCCTACACCGCCAATGTGACCTGTATTTTTTGTGATCTACACATTTACAAATGAGAGTTTGCATCATCACATAACCACTCCTTTGACACAGGCAAATGGCTCTCTGACAGAACAGGAGGACTCTGGGGTCCATCTGCTTCTTGGTCACAGAAGTTCTCTTCCCACGTCCACGGGGCTCCACCTCTACTTGCTGTCTGCCCACACTATGAGCTTTTGATGTGCTCTGCTCCAACCCTGGTGCCTCTTCCTCTGTCCCTGGCAGGCAACTTTGCCTAAGATCCACACCCACTCCCCTTGGTGCCTCTGCCTCTCGGGAGGCACAGCTGAGACAGTCACCAGACCACCGAGACACAGCCTTTATCACATTGTTTTTAAATGCCAAGTTACTATAGCATAGTTAGGATTTAAAACTTTGTTTACCAAGGTTTCCTGATGACCTTTGCAATGGCGATGGCTTCCTGGGTGCGCTGCAAATGGTACCCTCCTTATTGACAGTCCTCTGTTTGTGTAAAGGACAGATGTGTCTCAACTTGCCAAGTCAAAACCAATAAATCCAAAGCTTTATATGAGGCGGGCTGACAGATACCCCCTGCCTTTTGTCATCCCTTCTCTGGGCCCCCAGAAAAAGATGGACATTCATCAAAAATCAACAAAGAGCACTTATCAAACACTGGCCATGAGAACATCCAGGCCCCAAGAAGATGACAGCTAAAGTGTATATTGGGGCTGTAATTACTACACAGAAAGTTGTTTCTATCAGAGCAAAGATAATAACTGAATGAAAATTTATGGCAGAGAATGGAAGTAACAAGGAAACAGAAGCAGGGAGACTGGTGTTTCTCCCAAAAGGCCAACTTGCATCATAATTGCCATGGAGTTGCAAGGGCCCTTACAGATAATTGACCAGAAAATGATTAAGTCATCAGCAAATCGCTTCTGCTTGCAAGAGTTCAAACATGTACTTAACCTATCCAAGAATTATATTTTCACTCTGTGTGCCTGCTCTGTCTCTATTCAGCCTCGCGGGGAACCCGATTAAAAAGACAACTGAAGGACCCCCGTTATCTGATCTTCTGGTTGCCGATTTCAATAGAACTTAAACCCATTACGATTTGCTGAACTTGGAGTTCTTTCCATTTTATCTCAGCAGTAAAATACACTGTCCAAATTTCCAGACACTGAGATAAGGACTACAGGCCCCCGTGACGGCTTACTGTTCCTTTTTAATTCTTTTAGAATAAGAAACAAAACATTACAAAATGATAGCAGGCAGTGCACTGGGGAATGAAAATTGCTTTGACATGGAGATTAGGCTTCTGTATTGTTACAAGACATTGTCTCATATGGACAAGAGTACTGTAGAGGAAGAAATAGAAGGGATTTTTTTTTTTCTAGAATAGTCATGAATGACCTAATGGGGGAGGACAAAAAACTAAGTGCCCTTGCCATTATTTACGAATGGGACAGAAAGGGAGATTTAAAGCTTATTGTTGGAGAACCGAAATACCAGAGAGAAAGAATGGACAGAAAGAAGAGGCCCCAAACACGAGGCGAGCAGAATGACCAGCACCACAGCCTGAGGGACAGGGCTGCCCTCCGCCAGAAGGGGACCGAAATCCACTCAGCACTCAGTCCTGGCAACAAGCAAAAAGCAAAGCAAGCCGTCTCTTTTCTAGATATTCACACTTGGGGGAGGGAAACGTTTAACTTGAAAGAGTTAATTTCCAGCGTTGTGCAGTAGCTTACAAGAAAAGGATCAATTGTTCTGTAAAGGCAAGCTCTGTAGTGTGTTAATGTGTTACTGCAAAAACTAATCGCTACAATAAAGAGCCTGTGTTTCCACAGTGTACGAGTCTCTGTGACTTTGATTAATGCTTCCCACGGGACATCTCAGCCTCAATATGGGCTGAAGAAACTTCCTAAATATTCAATGAGCATGGTCAAAAGATGTATAAAACAAATCAACCTGACACCTTAATCTGGCTAGGCAGCGGTTGACTCGAGGGGTGGAGGGAGGGGATGCATCATCTAACGCTGCTGGCTTGAAAGGCTGTGAGCGTCTGTTCTTCAAAGCCGAAATGACACTGAATCTGTTGTACTTAGTGCTCTAGGAGTTATTAGTTTGCACATTAAAATCAGCACCCAGGAGTGAATGAAAGAGGCAGTGCCGTCCACCCACCCCTGGCATCTCTCTCCCTTTTGCCCACTTGTTCTGCTCAAGGGATTTGAAGCCCTGGAGAGCTGAGCTTTGCGTCTGGTGAAATGTCACTGTGAGGGAATTAAGTTGGACTCGCCGTGAGAACACAGAGCTTTGCGCAGATCCTGACTCTAGGGGCAAAGCGAGTTGAACTGGGATTCAGTCTTCACATCAGCATCGCCACACAACTCAGCGTGTCAGCGTCTCCAGCCTGTCACCCTTTCCCTCCACCTCCTCCTTCCTCAATAATCAGAGGGCATCTACGTCCTGCCCCAGTGTTTCACTTAAGGGAGCTGGGCACTGGGTCCACCACTAGCAAACAATGCGTGGAGGGTGCAGCTTGCTCCTCACTCTCCTTCCAAGCTGGCCAGGCACCAGCCCCATCTCACACCACTGCCCACTGTGGCTTCGAAACCCTCTCTGCCCATGCCATTTGTCTTGGTTTATTTGCATGGAAAACTAACTTCCAATCACTACTTTAAGTGAAATGACTTTCCAATGTGGAAAAGTACATTTTATTAGAACTATGAATTATCTTCCATGAATGCGGCCACAATCAAGCCAAGGCTTATCTCATTATGACAAACATTACGTGGGCCACAGACACATGCATGTCTTTTTAAGACTTCCTGATACAGGGTTTCCTGGTTGACAAAATCTTCAGGTGTCTTTTCTCATTTCTAGGGACTGTTCAATCCTGCAGTGGTTTCTTAAATCCTGACCAAAATAAAGTACTGAAGTGTATACTGAGGACTCTCCGGCTCTTTCAGCCCTGCAGAAAATCATCCACATTTGCATATCTACCCGGGTAGATAAAAACATAACTCCGCTGTATCTAGCATGATGTGCACATACTGCATACAGCATCATGTATGTGTTCTAAGTGCGTATACACTGTACGCTATCAACAGTCAGACTCAGAACCATGCTCGACACTAACAAAATCTCAGAATGTTCTGGTATTGCTTTCTGGAAGTCCTCCGACTGTCATTCCTGGACTGCTCTGCTCTTCTCTGCTCTTCTTTCTACTCTGATCAGCGTAAACTCAGAAAATACAAACTCACTTATTACTGGCCAAATAGAAAATATAATTAGGTAAGTTAAAAAGTAGAAGAGAAATGCCCTTGGGTGGGTTTCTGCTTTGTATTCTGCGTCCAACGGGTTTCTCTCCATTAGAGTGGAGATTCCAATAGGAAGGTATAGATGGAATTTGCAACGTGAACACTAACACTTTTTTTTTCCTTTTCTTTCTTTCTTTCTTTTCCCCCCCCTGTATTTTAAGGAAGGGTCTACAGGGTGTTCAGGGTCTCACTCCTAGATCAGACTCATAGTGATCCGCCTGTTTACAGCCTCCCAAGTGCTGGGATTACGGGCGTGCATCACCACACCCAATCTCAATCGCCATCTCAGCGCACCCCAGCAGACACTTTAAACGGCTGGGCTATTTGGCCGGCCCACTGACACTTCGTTAAAAATAAATTCTTCAAGCAGATATTTAATTGTTTTCTCTGCACAGTAGGTAGATCTTGGTAAAACTGAACTCCTGGGTGCGTTTTGAGGGAGTGCGCATGTTTTCTTACTGGTTTCCTCTGCACAGTTCTGTAAAGCTGCAGGCCCGTAACCTCCCTCTCCGGGCGTCCTCCCTCAGCACACAGGCACACAGCACGAACGAGTCTCGTGTTCGCAGCTACCAAGGGGCAGCGGGTTGGCTCGGAGCTGCTGCTCCTTCTCTTCCAGGTGGCTTTGTCTCAGGGGTGGGCGAGTGGGCCCCGGGTGTGCCGTCTACAAGGCTCTCCGGCCTCCTTCGGGGTGAAAGGTGCTGCACAGGTGACATCAGCTACTGTGCTCATTATCCAACCCGGGGCGATGGCGGCAAGAGAGGAACGAGAGGCAGCGGGACACACGCATGCGCATGCGCGTGCACACAGTCTCTCTCCGCATCCCTCTCTTCTGCATCACTCTCTTAGAAACAAAGTGCCAGGAAAAGCCAGCGCAAGACCAACTTTGCCAGCTTCTACCAGGTTCCGGAAGCTGCCCACTCCTCAGTAAGCTGACTGTGTCCCTTCCATAGGTCTAGTCTAGATGTCCCCACTGCAAGCCCAGACTTTTCCTGGCCTCCTGGGTCCCTCAGCCTGGTGTGCGCGGAAGTGGCCTCCGCCAGCCCTCACACTACGCACCTTCTCTGCCTCTTCCCCCCTGACCCCCAGTAGGCTGGTGCTGAATGAGGCGAAAACACACCTTCCACTCGAGGAGCATAGCCAGGGAAGGAGCGCGCCCGAAGGCTGAAGTCGGTGCTCCATTCAGAAGCAAGCAGGAGGGGAAGCAGAACTTTGCTGAGAAAGCCAAACAAATCAGCAGCGGAGGAAACTGGAGTGAGCTGAGCCTGCAAGGGGGGCCCAGAAGCAACCCAGTCCCGGGGCACAGAGCACACTGCGCGGAGGGGAGCCGTGAGGAGCGGGCCTGTGTTGGCAGCCTGTGAGTTCTCGGTGGCAGGAAGAACTTGTACATATGGGGGTGGGCCGAGAGGGGTGGCGGAACCACCCAACCCTAATAAACTAATCTCGGCTAATGTAATGTTTATCAAGTTCCTTGGATAATGACACCACACGTGCCATTATCATCAAAACCCAATCTATGTTTTAAAAAGTTACAGATGATTAACGCAACAGCAAGTTGATACAATTACTTAAGACTCACACACAGACAGACACGCACATGCGCGCACACACACATACATATGCACACACACAAGACCAGGAGGTCCCAGGATTCTGTAGAATGGGGGAGGCTGCAGCTGTAGGCCGACAGCTTTCATATCCTCATTTGAATAATGTGTCCTGAATCTGTCACTTTATTCATTCTCCTTATGCTCAGTGTACTCCACATCAACAACAAATTAAGTTGTAAATAAGAGACAATCATCACTTTTGTTTTTAAGCAGCTACTGCAAAGAGAATTTCAATGTATGCTCCTTTTCGACAGGGGGGAAAAGAGGTGCTAGAGTTTGCTTTCATAGGCACAAATATGGGGAAACCAACAGAAACAAAAACAGAAACCGTTCACTGCTGCAGCGGAGAGGGAAAGAACTCTCTACAGCATATCCATTCACTACCACTGGAACTTTCTCCCAGGACTCTCCTGGCACTTAAGAAGGCCCCAGCCGTGGGTGCAGGGCCTAGGCTGAAACCCGCGTGCCGCAGGGCCAGCGGTCCTTCCGCCTCCACACACAAGCGGCATCTCTGCTCACACACCTCTAGACAAAGGACAAGTGCACTCAGCCCATGGCAGCACAGGTGTATTCATAGACAGATTCCACGTTCATCCCCATTAATTTCCCGGAGTTCAAATCACTTCCACATGCACAGAAAATAGAAATAAATCTGGTAATAGCATAAGTCCCTACCTTTACATCGGAGAAGTAAGTCTTCAGCATATTGGAGCTGGGATAACGGGTATAAAAGAACATGAGCTTTGCTTTTTTCAAGTGATTGGGTGACAATCCTTCCTGCATGTAGGATGCAATTGGTTAAGGCAAAAAGAAAAAAAAAATATCCACAAACAACACGGCCCTATCCCTCTTGACCCCATAATGGCTCACCCCCAGCCTGTCTGGGGCCTGCCTCCCCAAGCAGCCTGGGAGTGCCGGGAGCTCTGTGGCCCTGCTCCACTGCCTGCCAGAACACACAATTTAGCTGCAGACTCTCAGCTACCTGGTGGGGAGGGTGGTCCAGCCTTCCCCTGGTCTAGGCCCGTATGCTACCCATATGTTCACTTGTTGCTAAGGAGACACATGTACCCAACATGTGCCGTACAACCCTAGTCACAAGACTCTTATTCCTTCTTTGCAACTGCGGTTCTGGTTTTTCTTCTCTTCGTCTTCTGCAAGTTACATCAAATTCTCCTGACACACTCAGGAATTTAAAATGCATCATTTTGCACACCATTGGGTAAACTTCACATTTCACTTTTTAGCACAGTGCTAGTGGAACGGTGCTCCCGGGTTCCATCACTCTCTATCTTGGTATTATCTCCTTCTAACAGTTTCCTTTAAAATAACAGCTGAAACTTGGGAGGGGTAGTCCTGGCAGAGGGAACGGAGAGAGGGCGTCGCTTTTGTGAAAGCAACTGTCCTAACCCAAATACAATTTCCCTGCCCTGGATTTATAGTTAACTCCTCTGAGAGCGACACAGTAGTTGGGGCTAACAAATCAATAAATGTGGGTTAGCAGATCAATAAATGGCCACTTACCCCGAATAAGAAGGCCTATTTATCTGTAAACATCATTACCTTTTAGATCTGTAAACAGCGGCAACTAAAACAGTTCCCTAGAGAAAGTGTGGCTAACCATGACAATCCAGGCTTCCTGACTCTCGCCCGGATTCTTGGCACTCCTGCCGACTCAGAGCTGGGATGGCTCTGGTCACATCTGTGCTGCAGCCTGGCCCTGCCATTTCCTCAGCAAATTAATGGCTTTATAATTTATCAGAAATGAAGATGCACGTGGAGAAAATCAATGTGGTCCCCCACAAGGTCAATTAAGGGTCCTTTCTAGAAGCTTCTCTAAGGATTCTCTCCTCAAGGAGAGTCTGGGAAAATTAAGGAGAGAAAGAAAAGAAAGTATGCGGGTGCGTGGGCGCATGCATACACACACACACACACACACACACACACACACACACACACAGATAACACACCTTAACCAAGCAACAGAAATTTCACGCCCTCTGAAGAAAGGTCAGATAAGCACAGCCAGGAAAAAGAAAGCTTCCCCAGTGACCTCCGTCAGGCTTAGCACAACCGATGGTAAGAAGGAAGGGAAGCAAGGAAGGTATCAGGCACATAATCAAATTAATATTGATAAGCTCTTTGCTCCTTATAACGGAGTATTTAACGAAATCTTCTGTTGAGAATTTGTCCAATTAACACTTCCCCCCAGGTCCCATGGAATTTAAGTAAAGAAGATCGCCTTGGTTTGCAGATAGAGAAGCCAAGTATTGTGGTTGTGGCTGTGTGTGTGGTGTGTGTGTGCGTCTGTGTGTGTGCGTTTTAGCTGAAAATAGACACTAAGGAGAGAAATTTTGATTTTCTCTCTGTGAGCCAAAGCAGCTTAACTGAACTTGTGTTTTTGTTTGAGGTCCTTAATGATTACAAAGACGATAATTTATGAGTGACATACTTCTTGTGCCAAGGGAAGGCTGAAAGGCCCTCCCGTAACCTCCATTAGACAGATAGAGAAGACGAAAGGAGCCCGGCACACTTCAGGACCATCTGTCCAAATGGATAAGTGGAATAATGGTTGCAAGCTGTCTCCTCTTGCCTTGCGATAAGAGTTTCAGGCAAGTCCAAACTTCCACACACATTCTCCGATCTGGGTTCTAATCTTTTCTTTCAGATGAGTCCATGAAAACAAACCTCATCCCCATTTAATTAATTCTAAGTCCCAAATCTTTCAAAATTTGGTTCCCCTGCAGAACATAAACTGTTTTGCTGTTTCTCTGAGAGGCACAGAGCTGCTAAACTTCCTGAAGCACTCCTTTCCTCTAAATTGTGCTAAGTTTTAGTTCTTTTTATTTAAAAAAAAATTCATTATGTTTTGATCAGGATTTAGTCTTTTTACTTAGTGGGAAAAAAAGATTCTGATTTGGATTTCTCAATTTCATTTTTGGTTCAAAGTGTTGCCTGTTTGCAGTACTTTGAAACTGATCAATTGAAATGGAACACAGAATAAATCTCTATCTCTCGTTCATTGTGTAATTAAGATAAAATTCCCATAAAATATATGTTTCTAATAAACTATTAAAAATAGCTAATGAAACATTTAGAAGCCAACAGTTAGATAATCCTCTTTTTTTCTCCTCAAAATAAATCTGCACTGACCAATTGGTTAATTTCCCTTTTAAGTGCTCGTGCTGAAAAGCAGTCGCTCTTCCAAGAAAGCACTAGCTGTTTCCTGGATACTTACACACGCACAATGAGTCGCAATGGAAGAGATTCAGTAAACATACAGCTGTACCGAGCACGGGCTAAGCTCCATTCAAGGCCAGGAAAGAAAATGAGCGCAAATAAATATTAAGGAGGTAAAGGGGGTGGGGCGAGGGGGATGGAACGCAAACAAGATCTGTCCCGGCAGCTCGGCAGCTCGTGTGGCTTTGCTTCAATTCTCTTAGCCATAGCTTTGTGAAGACAGATGACATTCAATTCTATGTGTAATGCAAAAGAGACAATAACTGCTGAAACTTGAGACAGCTGCCAGGTGTAAAAAAAAAAAAAGAAAGAAAGAAAGGGGAAAAAAAAGAAAAAAGATGATAAATCCATAAATTAATCAAAGACATCTGCTTGGGAATATAAAAGATCAGAGAAGCAGGCTAGCGCAGCTGATCCTACAGTAGGGTCCAAACAACCTGAGACTCTAAGTGTCGTCTGTTTACCAAGCACAGTATAACCTTACCTAAATGGCAGCAGCCAGAGGAGCAGCCGAAGCAGCAAAAAGGCAAATGGAAGCATAATAGGTTGTGAAGGCTGCAGAGGAAAACCTTTTTTATCCCAGAGAAACCTACATCGTGGCTAGATGGGCTACGCAGCCGCTCTGGGCAAACGTGCTGGGTCTGTTTAAGCCCCCCAAAGCATCTGGAAGCTACAGAATTTTGGTTTTCTCCCTATTCTGGGATTAGTGCTTTCTACAGGCTTGCTCTGGAAACCTGAAATCGGGAGCAGATTGAATGCTCCTTTCACAGTAGTGACAGAGCAAGTTGTGACTGCACTGAGAAGTTCGGCATCCTCAGTGGAATATGTAGCTTTTTAAAAAGTTCTATATTTTTCTGCAGGTTGAGGTGTTCAAAAGCCATTAATCTACATGCGTCACTCTCACCAAAACTACGATGGACCCTCAAGACTCCTAAAAGTACAAAAGAGCACCTTGCGGAGATCATTCCACACTTCAGAAATTCATTCCTAACTCATGGTTTGGGGGCTGGATTCTAATTTCATTCCCTTAGAAAGCTTTCCTTTCTAAACTTGGAGTGATTTCAACCTTTTTTTTTTTTTCCTTTATGTATTTGGTACAGGGTCTCACTATGCAGCTCTGACGCCTAGTAATCCTTCTGTTTTCAGCCTCCCCAGGGCTGGGATTACAGGCGTGCGTCACTATGCCTGGACTCGGTTGCCAGCGCAGGGTGCCGGGGGTGGTGAACAGGGCCGACGCAGCATGCAGGACTGGAAATTGAACCCTGGTCACTGCATTTGCCAAAGCAGGCACTTAGTCCACTGAGCTGTCTCACCAGCACTCAACCTTATTCCTTCTAAGGGTGGAGTAGGAGAACGTTGACTGTCACAGGGGACAGGCCGGGCTTCTTCACCTGCACAGCTTAATGGCTTATAGTACCGCTCTTGGGCTTTAATTGGGTGGGTATATGCAAATATCCAAGGCCTAAACAAGGCTATTTTTCTTGAGATGCAAAGAGGATGAACGACAAGGAACATCGTAAAGAAATGCAATTGGCTGTTTCGTTTCTTTTGACATTTGAATAAAACTTAATATTTGGTTAAATAGATTCATTTGCAAAGACACTGGAACACGTTTTTTATATTCAAGACATGAGCTCTTTGACCAGGTGCATGGACACTGGGCTTAATGTGCCACATCCAGGACCTCCTTCCTCCACTGGGGCATGAGGAGGGAGTGTGCTCTGTCTGCAGCATAGACATGTTTCGTGTGCTCCATTTAGGACGGGCTGATTTGATGAGCTGGTGCACTGAGCTGTTCTTATCTTGGGTAGTTTGTTCAAAAATCAGATGCTGCCCTTTGGACCCAGAATCATTCCTTAGGAATTAAATTATTTATAGCAGCTCAGAAAACCATGAACTAAAAATAGAAATGCTCTACTGGAGCTCATAGTGCTATAATTTAAACTTATTTTGGTTGTTCTTTTCTAGGAATCATTGTACAACACGTTCAGCTATGGCTCTGTATCCCTAGAAATGGAGAAAAACATCACTCACTGTAATGTCCAGAGAGTTCATCAAACCAAACTTAAGAAATTTGTCTGTCATCCAAATAATTGTGTAGAGGAGTGGGATATGTATATAGTTAGGAAATCAGGGAGGAACTCACTTGCCATAAAGAGACAGATAGGGGCAGAGTGGATCTGATCCCGTCTGCCAACAAATACTGGGATTCTCAGCTGCTTCAGAATTGTGGAACTACTGAAAAGCCTGCCTGCCCATCATCTTCTTCCTGGGAAACCATGTACCAGTGAATCAAGTGGTCAAAAGTACAATGTAGTGGAGGAGGAGGAGGAGAAGGAGGAGCAGGAGGAGGAAGAGGAAGAGAAAGTAGTGAGGTTGGAAGGTCAAAGAGTGAAAACTTATAGCGATAAATTGCTGCAAGAGGCTCAGCACGTTCAGCCATTGGAAAGAAAGACCTCCAGGTATTGAAAACTGATATTTCACACAAAGGTGTGTACGGGTCTTATTGGCAGGACACAGGAGAAGTTACTTATTGCAGAAGAAGTAACTATGCTCTTTACAACCTTTGATACATACACAAGTAAAGGAATTTCTTTCCACTGGAATCTTCAGGGATTTAGAAATACAGAGGGAGCGAGATGATGTCCTGTGCTCATGGTTGACACTTAAAACAAAGTAAAAGATTGGTGTTTTCTTCCCCTAGAAGACCAAAGTGACTTAGAAATATACAAAGGCACAATTAGAATTAGTGGCTGATGATGAGAAATCTAAGTTAAAGGACAGAAACTAGCATTGGGAGCAAGAGTTTTAGAACTTTATAACCTGGCTTCAAAGAGTCACCAAAATGGCCCTGCATGTTCTCTCTCTCTCTCTCTCTCTCTCTCTCTCTCTCTCTCCTTCCCTCCCTCCCACCACCCCCTATTACTTTCCTACTTATTTCAAAATGAAATTCAAGGATCTCTGAAACTACTAAGGCCAACAGGGTCTACTGCTACACATTAGGCTGGCATGAACTTGGAAAGATGTTCTTCTGAATGGTGAGAACCCATCCACACTCTTGTGTCTTCCTACTTAATCCTTCTCATCATCAACATCTCTGCTCCTGTCGTCTTGACCAAACTTTCTTGCCTGCTCTCACATGGCGCTTGCTACAGCACAGCGTAATGGCTGGTGCACTGCATTTACACTCTGTCAGAGGTTGAAGCTGAATCAGCAACCAAGCCAAGACTCAGATCTACCACGTCAGCATCGTCCTCTTCCCTTTCGCTCTCGACTGACTTCTAGTCTTCCTCAGCAAGGAAAGAGACCTCATGGTTAGCTAACCCAGGGGTCTGGTACCTGTGGCTCCTCCTCCTCAGCAAAGAGCTTCACTATAACCTGCAGACTTGGCTGGGGGGAAGACCCAAGAAGGCATATTTCTTCCATAGCTGGGACTCCGCCCTACATGGCGGCCTCTGGAGTGGGCTCCGATACTAAAATGTCAGTCTCTAGTCATCAAAATGATTACTCAAAACCCTCAATTTAGTAACAGCCAACTTAATTGCTAAATTTTATATCCATCTGGTAATTTATTAGACAAGCAACATGCTTCCACCTACTCCCAAAGACTTAACCATCACAAGAGTTTGCAAATATTGAAGGAGAGGACTGATTTACAGAGAAAGAGAAATCAGTTAAAAATACCCAGAGTGCAGGGTATATCCATTAAAAAATATAATTGGCCTCTCTACATAAAGGTCAAGATCAGAATGAAATGGAGTCATAAAAAAGCTATTTTTAAGTTGAATTCTGCTGAGTTTTATATCTAATTGTGCTCCCCTGCTTTCCAAAATCATTTGCTTTGTGTATGTTAGGACAAAAGATTTCTGTGTATGGCTGAGCAAAGGCTAATCATGCATAGAAGCAGCTGCACCAGGCCCAGAGGACAGGCTCTGGGCGAGCGAGGAGGCCGGTGCCGTCTGAGGAAGTCAGTACCTGCCTAGTTCCTTAAAGAAAAAAGTCTCATTTCAAAATAAAGAGAGACTCTAGCTCCCCATTCCTGGCTGCCTTTCTGCCCTGACCAGAGTTTAGCAGTTTCCTACCAAACAAGTGCGCTTCCTGAGATCTAACCAGGCCTTCATTATGGGGACTAGAAGATTGGCGGATGGTTAGGGTGAGGATTCTTAACAGGAATCTCATAGATCAGAACACCGGGTTTTCTCCTTACTCTATCTGAAAGAGTTCAATATTCACAGTGAGAATGATTTTTTTGGGGGAGGATCTCTGAATTTCTCAGGGGCAGGAGAAGAGAGGAGAGGAGAGACAGAGAGAATGAGAATACGAAAGGAGCAGAATCTCTCTATCTCTATCTCTCTGTCTCTGTCTCTCTCTGTCTGTCTCTGTCTCCCCCCTCCCCAGGAAAAGGCATCAGATACCAGCTCCTGTTGGCAATTAACAACTGTGAAAGTTGCAAACACTGTTTCAGTCTAAGCTTCCCTGGAGCAGAAATGCCACCTTCACACTGCTAAGAGCTGTTACCTTGTATAATAGGGAAGACTGCATTCTTCAGAAGATACTGATCTACATGGCCCTGAACCCTGTGCAAAGCTAGCCTTTGGGGCAACCTTTTTGCTTTGCTTTGTTTTGTTCCTTCCTCTAGGGGAAAAGAAAAGGATATTGCACTTCCCGAGTAGGGCGAGATTTCGGACATGTCTTGCAGGTCGCCACACTCAGACTTTATGAGCGACAAGGAGAGCCCTTCGGCTGTGCTGGGCGGGTGTGCCGGTGAGCAAGCGTGGTGGCTCAGGTGGTGAGATGACATCTTGGTCCTCAGGCTCGTTGTGTCCCTAGTTAGGTCTAAGGATTCAGGAGAGGCTCTGTCTTTTCCCGAGAAGGAGCCGGAGGGAGCACCCAATGGACTCTGAAATGGATAGGCCATCAAGGGGAGGGGAAAGGGGTGGCGGAAGGTGGAGGCGGTGAAGCCCGCCGTGGCAGAGAGAGGCGACTGGTGCAGGGGCTGGTGGTGGCCGCCAGCGGCCGGCCCGGAGGCAGACTGGTCAGAGGAGTTTTTGCGGACCACCAGGGGCAGTGCTTCTGTCTGGTCGGCAGAACTGGGCATCTGCACGTTGCCAAAGGTGTCCAGGGGATTTGGAATGATGACGTCGCCAAAGCACTGCAGGCGCTGGTTGGCGGTGTGGAAATTGTGGTTGTCCCCATTGACTGCAAACCTGGCCTGGGGAATCTGGAGAGGTGGGAAGACCTGAGGAACCTGGCGGGAGGGCTTGGCTGCAAAGACTTTGACCACAGTGTCCACGACTTGCGACATGGCCGTGTTGAGCTCCTGTTTCAGGGTCTCAGCCAAGTGTTTGCCGTCTGGCTGCAAGGAGCTTGGCCCATGGTCTCTCTCTTTGTTGCTGCCTTCCCGCTTGGGCTTGTTCTCAGCCATCTCCTGCTCTCTGATCAGGGCCCGCGCCCGGTCGATGAACTGTCCTGGGTCCAGCTCACACATCTCACTGTCGGACCTCCCCACGGAGTCCTGGGCCCGCGCCTCTAGGATCTCGGAGCGCATGCTGTCTTCGGACAGGTTTCCATCTTCATCATTTTCAGAATCAGTGCTGTCGTAGATCTGATAGAACTTCTCCTGCAGCTGCCGCAGCTGCTTCTGCATGTCCTCCAGCTGCTGTTTCAGCTGTCGGCGCTCCTCTCGCTTCTGTTCTTTGCGGGCTGAAACCAGCTGCTGGAAACTCTGCTGCTGCTGCTGGGGCAGCTTTTGCTTGCGTTTGTTTTCTCGGTAACTTTCTCGGGGACTCACAGACTGCGGGGCCATCTCTCTTTCATTTTCATTGCCCCTCAGTGCCACACTGGGGGAATGGCTCATCCCCCGAATTATATTCTCCACCCGGGCACGCTTTGCTCTCAGGTGCTCGTCACACAAGCGATCCATATCAAACTGGCTCATAGTGGGCCTGCCAAAAGGGGAAAGACACTCAGGGGGGCTGTCTCTCGAAGAGTTGCTGCATATATCCTCTTGATGTACTTCGGAGCCCGTGCTGGAGAGACCGCTGGCTTGGAAACTGGGCTCCGTGCCACCATTTTTGTTCATGTTATTTTTCAACAGCTGGGAAATTATGGTTGCTCCTGGAAAAGGCATCAGAGCATCTTCGTACGAGTTCGCCCTCTTCAGCAGCTTGCGGAGTACGTTTGACTTTTCCCCATCTGCATGCTGTACCACTGAATACTCAACATCCTGCTCGGAACCTTGGGGATTCATCGCACTAAAAAACGTCGCTCTTGCCTTAGCAAAAAATGCAGATGCTGTCCCTACCGTCCTTTTCACTCCAATGTCAACTCTTCTCCTCTTGGTTTGCCGGCTTAAGAGGGCTGTGCTGTCATGGTCAGGCATCACTGGACGGTTATTGTGCCATCTTCAAAAGCTCGTCAGCTGGGCACAGCTCAAGAATCCCGGGACCCTGGCCAACAGAACAAAAGGACTGATGAATCATTTTCTTTAAATTTCTCCAAATTTCCTGACCTCAATCCTGAATCAAATGCAAAATGCATAGGCTCTGGGATTTATGGCACATTACAATTATTGCAATTTATTATGCACTCTGCTTGAAATGAAACATTTTTAAATATTTCTGCTCCACTGGTTTAAGATGGATTAAGATTAAAAAAAAAGCAAAAACTGCTTAAGCACCAGTAATATGATTCTCTTTCACAAATGCCTAAAATGATACTGTTTATCTTCAGAAGAAACAGTAGATTATAAGAACACAGCCTCTGACAACCAATTGATTAAATTTTGGGGCTTTGAGATTCATATTATAAAAGAAGATGAAAGTGGTCTATACTTAAGAAATAAGGTTAAATTCTGAGGCTGTGTGAATTTGGGATGATAAACTCCATTCCTGCGTTAAAATTATTGTGGTTTGAATGCAACTAAAGGAAAAGATGCTAAGGTAAATGCAAATATTCATTGCATACCCTTTATTGCTGAACTGTAAAATATTTTGGTCATACGGGAACTGGGAAGAAGCCCCACCAGCACCTTTCAAACATAAGTGAGTAATTTAGCATTGAAGGCAGAGCTAGGCACTCATCTGACAAGTCTGCCCGGTTAGTAAAGTTACACATTATTATCATCGAAGTCATGTGTGATGATGGTTCAGCTGCTGCACCTGAATGTCACTAGGAGCACATTCCTAAATTTTCATATTGTCCTTTTTGATGGCTTTAATTATTAGAAAACTGGATTCGCTGCAAAAGAAGGGTGTTGTCACATTTTAGAAATTGATATGTAGAACAATAGATCATTGAACGAGGCAAGGTTAAGTACATCTCTGGTACTAGTTTTCTCATGCAAAAATCTGCCAAAACAGTTCTCCAAATGCCTAAAGAAACTCTTTAACACTCATTGTTTGTGTATTTTATCTCCATTGCCAAGTGAAAGGAAAGAAAAACCAAAAACCAAAAACCAACTGAAAGATAAAGAAAAAACAAAAATAAATAAATAAATAAAAAAGAAAGAAAAAAAAAAGAGGGAATAAAGCCTCAATCAAATATGTGAGCAAAGGAAATGCTTCTTTTGATTCTTGGGGACAGAATATAAAAAAGGGGCATCTTTTCTTGCCTCTTACAAAAGGCACTTGACATATTGTGTGACTTATTCACTAGCGATGCTGATCCCAAATTTTGTATCCATGTAAGATGTCACATCTTTCTGTTTACCATTAACATTTTATGAAGAAAATGAAAAAAAAAATTCCTGCCAGGTTTCTGTGATACTGAACTTCACGTTCGCTCAACAGAGCACATCTTCACAATAACAGGCTCTATTGCCAACGGCAGCATGCAGAGTGTCTGGAACGGCTCCCATCCTTTCGGTTCACCTGTGAAAACATCTACGTGCTCCCCAGGACTGCATCTGTGGCTAGTTTTAAAGAATGACTATCCATGCAAATAGGCATAATTTCAGCATGAAATAACCTGTAAAAATCAAGAAAATGCTCACTGCTTACATGGCAGCAATCTGTATGTATTTTAACCTGGCAAAGATTTCATCATGCCGTATTTGATCTCGGTGTCTGTATGAAAACATAGTTTTTAAAAGAGCCTGTTTTAGAGTATCATGAAACCCAGATGATAACGTTTTCTATATATTTTTGTAACCTGGATGATGAAATACTTCCTTGATGTTCCAGGATAAAATATCCTGAACTCTGGATGGAAACAGAGATCTTGGCAACTTTAATATTGGGCTCAAAATTCAACCCAGAATGATAGAGACTCCTCACATGCTACTTATAAAATTGATTTCAGGAATACAAAAACACAGTGACAAATATTTCACTGACACATTAACTCTGATGAATCAGGCATAGCTGTCTGTCAGGTGAGAGGAAGAAGAAAGAGGTTCAATTATTTAAAAGGTCTATTAGCTACAGGAACACTAGAAAAGGGGAGGGCGAAGGCAAGGTTCTTTTGGACCTATATGAGCTTTCCAAAAGTACAGCTTATAATTTCAAAATATCACCTCTTTCCTTTTTGTGTATAAATATTTTCCTCTTTAATATCACCAGCAAAGCATAGGGATCTCTAATCAACATGTTGACCAAACTTCCTGTGATATTTTCTCCCTATTCACACACAAGCTAGGCTTTGCTCCTGCTCATCTTGCCCAGGGAAGATGTACAAGAGGCTCAGAAAGGACATGCTGGTGTCCTTGACGAACACAAGGTCATCCCAGGCATCCTTCCTTTCCCAACTGCCATGGACCTCTGCATCAACTACACTTCCTCTCCTCTAGCCTAGGTATCAACAGCTGCATCCCTGCCTCCTGCCTGAGACAGGAAGAGGGCTGGGCTCTTCCTAAGGTGGAAAGACATGATGCTTTCATCTCCAGTGGACAGCAAGTGTCAATTAAACATGTTTGCTGAGTCTATGAAGAACAAGATATCCTGTAACTTTCTCCAAATTCGTCAGACTACACGAATTTTTGCACAATTGTCTTTCAAGCATTTAGCATTTTTGAATTAAGTAATAATTTCTTCTGTTTGGAGCTAAGAGAATTTCAATAATTTTAGGCCTTATTGTAAATTGTCCAGTTGAAAAATAACATAGGACAGGACAACTGGGGGGAAATAGAAAAAAAAATATATATATATATAACCTAGCAAGGTAAAGCATGATATTACAAGGCACAAATGAAAATAACTCTCTTTATAGCTTAGAGCTAAAGTTAGAAATAAAGTTTACAGTGGTGGTGCACTTTGAGACCCACAGAGGTTATAGCCAAGATAAAGAATAGAAGTAGATCACACAGCACTTTAGTAGCATCATATTTCATAAACAATATATACATATTGTGAGCATACTTATCCCATAATAAAATGCACCATCCAATGATCATAATGCATCAGATCACTTAAAACCATTCCCAAAATGTTTCTATGATTTTCCAAATCAATCTGAAGGATGACAAGCAATGACTTCATCCATTGTACGGTTCCTCCTGTCCATTAAGATTTTGAAAAACTCTCACATGTTTTAACATATGTATTAAACCTTAATGCTGTCCCAACAATTGATATTACTATAATATTTTCATCTTGACATTAGTGATGAATGTAACCAGGCAACATGAAGATTTTTGACCAGAATATCAAAATGGTGAATATTGGTATCATCAGCAAGGAGACAGAAGAGAATATTGGTGGGAAATCGAACCCAAATTATTATGGAGCAAATATGCTCTATTATTATAAAACTCTTCCAAAAATGTATAATTTACCTATAATTTTCAATTATTATTTTGTTGCTCCAGTTGGCATCTAAATCTATACAAATGCTTTAATAACTTCTGTACAATAGACAGCATAACAATTCTCAGAAAAAGCTACTATAAGAACCAACCTTAAGATGTGATAAAGTCAGATTTTTTAACTACCTTCAAAGAATCTTCATTAAAATCTGAGTTATCTGCCATTCCACCTATCTGACGTTTTCCTTAGTAGAGAACACTAAGCATACTGGTAAGGTTAGCAGAAAAGCATTTTCGGTAAAGGCTTTCAAAGAACATCGTAATATAAGCAGAAAGTAGCTCAGTGCTGCACTTTAATAAAAAAAGTTATTTGGGAGAAGGAGATGCAGCTTTTACTGCATCTATCTGGAGTCCAGACCTATCTGGACAAAGAAGTGTTTCATTACGGCGATTATCCAGATAGTTTAGACAAATCTTTTATGAGGCAGTGAAAGTGTAAGGTTGGCTTGGTTTCCTGCCTGCATCATTTAGCTTATCTGTTTTTGTTGATAAAATTATTTGAAGAATTTGCTGACATAGTACTTCTTGCAGAATGTCAGCTTTAAATGGGCCTCCAATCTACTTGGGGTTCACCTGGTTATGACATTTCAAGTAGTATTTTATGAATAAGAGTACTGAAAATCAATCCAAGAAACCAGTCATTCAGGAGGGAAAAATCAGATGACTTGACACAGGGACACCCCAAATCACTAAGTTGCCCTCACCTCATTGTGTTCAAGAGTGTGTTTATGCTAACTGCAACTTTTCCTTTAGAGACATTTCTGCTCACTTCCAGGTTAAGAAGTCTTTAATATTGATTTTGAAGAACCCACTTGGAATAAGTGAATACCTCGAATAACTAAGATTACATTGACAGGTACTTAAGAGTTCTTAAATTGTGACCATTTCATTTATGCTTCTTCCATCCCATTAAAATTCTATACGTTTTTCACTTGCTAAATGAATGTGTAACATTGCCTGAGACATACTCAAAATACTGATTTCTACAGACTTAGTTTTAATAATTCATTGAACTGGGTAAATAAAAGTATAAGAAATCACCTTCAGAAAATATACTTATACTTTTTTTTGGCAGAAAATTGCAACATTTTAATCCTCTGAGGCTTAGAACACACCAGGGAGTAAGAGTTGAAAATTATATGTCCTTTTTTTATATGTCCCTCTCAATTTATTCAAAATAGTTAATTAGAATTTTATAATAGTACATCATGCATAATCAATTTTCATATTATCATGCCACCAATATTTTATAATTTCTTTTAAAAATTCAAAATGTAAAAATCCTCATGTTAATATTGTAAATTTAAGACAATCCCTGAAATGCTACAGGAAGTTGGTGAAAAAAGGCCTTCTTGAGTTTTGAAGACATAAAGAGAAAACCTGGCAACTTACAGAATGAGCGAGCTGAGGTTTCAAGACTGCATGGCTGCTGAGGGGAGAGCCAGGCCAGCAAGGGAGTACAGTGAGAACAAAGATGCATGTTATGTATGCATGACTCTTTTCCCACAAGGCGGTGATTAAACTAAATAGAATTCTGCATAATGGACACATAAAAATATCAATAAGTGCCAAGCATAGATAACCTCTATTAAAAACAAAGTAAATGAACACAGCCATAGATGACATTTTAATCACCAAAGAACCTCAAAAGCATCCAAGGAACATATTGGGGGGAGGGGTGTTTAAGTTGAAAGAATAAATGACACATACCATCTCATTTTCTTGGAAACAAGGATAACCACCCAAGCCACAAAAACCACTGGTCATCTAACCTACTCAATATGCAGCTCAATTTACAGAAATAGCCTAATACTGAAAAAGTTTAAAGGTCAGGTCTTAAGAATCCAGATGTAGCACTTACACTGATTCTCCAACATCTCACACACATCAAGTCAGAGTCCTTAACTTTATCTGTCTTACCCTTCTGTGATAACACACATGCAAAGCCTAACCTCGATGCTCTTGCTTCCTCTCACACACACAGCTCATTTCAGTTCAAAAACGCCCAGAAGTTTGTGCAAGAAACTCTTCATAGACGGATGGCCCAAATCTTGCATCAAAGACTAAAGCACAGTTAGCTCTCGTGTGCCTAACATTTTCCTCTCCATCAAAGTCCTATCTAGGACATCTGGCACACGCCGTGTACACCCCTGCGTGCCCTCTTACTTGACGAGATTATTTAACATGCACCTTAAAAGAGTTCGAGCACACACCTATTCACTCTGGGCAGGGGGGAGCAGCCCATAACAGACAGGCTTTAACACCAGTAACACTTTCAAACTGACTTTGGTATTTTTGGCAGCTACACACCACCAAAGCTATCCAAAACACACACACACACACACACACACACACACACACACACACACAGGATCTCTCTCCCTCCCTCCCCCTCTCTCTTTGCCAAGCACAGACCTAGGAGCTAGGCATGAACTGGAGGGAACCGTAAGGCAAGTCAGTCTCCCTCCACCTGCTGCCTGACGTGGGGGAGCTTTTGGCTCCCTGGCAGACAGAAGCCTGAGACGCAGCCTTGGCAGCAGCCTGCCAACATCCTTAAGTAAAATAAACAAATACACACCAACTTGCCCCCCCAGTCCCTCCCAAAGAACTCGCACGGTGGGGCTCAGAACACAACAGCAGCAGCCCAGTTCCCATTAGCCCAAAGAGTCCTGATGAGCCAGGACAGCCATAAATTCACAAACCCCTCCAGCTCTCCAGCAAGCCCTGCGGTCTGGAACTGTGCACACTCGCAGACACAGAGGAAATTTACACCTGTCTTTCTTGACACAACACACCTGTCAGGCCCTGCCCCTGCGCACTCTGCTAATCGACGTCTGCCTCCCTACTTTAGGAAGGGAATTATCATTATTATTTTATCATTATTATTTTAAAAGAAGGCATGGTGCGGGGAGAGAGCGAGACTCTTCTAGCCTTGACTTTGAGAGAAGGCTACCCACGGCTGGCCCTGTTTTCCTAAGCTTAAGGAGACAACACAGACCTTCTCGGAAAAATAAAAACAAGCAGGTGAGTTCCCAGCCTTCCCCCAGGCGGGGCAGGGCACGCGGTTGCCAAGAACAGCAGTTTTTCCCTGCAGCCTGCCTCCTGGGCTGGGGAAGACTACCGCCCAGCCTTGCCCACCCCCTCCTTCCCTTTCTGTCCCGGGTCGGCCCGGAGGAGTCTCAACTTCGGAAGAAGCTGGAAAGGCGCCGGGGCCCTGCAGTCTGGGCGCTGTTCCCCGCTACCCACCCCCATCCCTGTCTCTACCGACGCTGTGCGCGCGGGAGGACTCCTGGCCCGCTGGCCAGGAGAACCAACAACTTGCTCAACTGGACTTTGGGAGATGTCTTCCCCCTCCCCCGTCTGCTCGGGCGAGATAGTGGCTCTTCCAGCTTCTTCCCGCCTAGCTCAAGGCGATTCTAGGCACGGTTCCTCTCACCTCGGCTTTCTTCCCTCTCCCATCCTCCAAACTGGGGCGAAGCAGTAGGTACCACCGGGACAGGACCTGCCCGAAGCTGCGCCACGGCACAGAGCACGGGTGACGGCTGCGGGGTCCCTCGTCCCGCACCCCAAGAACACCCTTACCCTCCCGGATCGCGACTCCGGTCTTCCGCGGTCGCGGGCCCGGGTTCCCCCAACCTCGCGACCCCCTGGGCCTCGCGCTGTGGCCTTACCCGACTCCGCGAGGCCCCGGCGCTCCTTTCCTGAGACCCATCACTGTCCTGCTCCAACCCTAATTTCAACACCGCCGCTCCGATCACGTCCAGAGAGGAAAGTCATAGAGCGCCCCCTCCCCCGTGCGCCCTCTGCCCGGCTCCCGGGCCTCGGCCCGGGTTAAAAAGGAGAAGTGGAAGCTATGCAAATGACAAGCAAATTGGAAGAGCTGGGAAGAAAGCGGCTATAATAAACAAGACAAAGGGAGAGGACGTGGGGAGGAGCCCGGAGTTTTCGCCCGGGGAGATGGCAAGGATGAGGCTGGGCGGAGAGCAGAGATCCTGGCGAACAAAAAGCGACCCGGTCCCCTCTCCGGAGAAGAGAGGGCAAGAGAAAGAAGGGAAGGAAGCAAATGCCTCCTCGCACGCCAGAAACAAGACACAAAAGGTGACAAGATCAGCGACAAGTCCGGCGACACCAGCCTCCCCCCGTCGCCAACACACCACCCCCAGCCACCAGCAGGAAAGAGAAAGAAATAAAAGCCAAGCGGATCACTTACTCTGGGGATCGGGGGGCAGCGGAGCGCTGGGTCCCACGGTGGCTCCTGCTTAGAAACTGTTTAGAGGCTATTTTATTAGGATTCATTTAAATAACACCACTTTCTCCTGGAAAAAGAATGTGCGCACGGGTGTAAGTCCTGGGAGGCTCTTTTTTCTCCTTCCCATTCAAGAACAAGCCAGTGCAAGTGGATCTGGAAAGGGGAGGGGACTCGCGCGGGGGAGCAGATACTTACGGTGCGGAGAGCGGTGGGACGCAGCCTCTCTTTCCCTCTCGCTCCCTCTCGCTCGCTCTCTCTCTCCCTCTCCCGTTTTTGCCCGCCGAGAGCGGAAAACGCGCGCGCGCGCGCACGAGGATGGTTTGCGGGTGATGGATGTGGTGATCGGACCGGGGTGAGTCGGTGCGAGGGCGAGCGAGCGAGGAGGGCGGGAGGGAGAGGGGAGCGCAGAGCGGAGAAGAGGAAAGGAGCGCAGAGGAGGAGAGGAGCGGCGAGGGGCGCGCGGAGCGGGGGCGCGGGGCGCGGACGGACCGGCCCCGGCTCCTCTGCGCCGCTCGGCTCTGCCCGCTGCACTGGTGTTGGGTTTCAGAGCGCTCCCTCGGCTGAGGGCTCCGCTCCACGACAAGATTTACTTTAAGACACAGCTGAAGGAAACAGGAAGACTGCACGTCACAGTCTGACTGACGTACCCGGCCCCAGCACCCAATCGCGAGGCGCCTTCGGATTCAAGGGGGGATAGCGAGGCAAGAGAACTTGGGAGGAAAAAAATATATAAAAGGGATGGGTGTGGGGGGTGCGGGGCTGGGAGGAGAGGAGGGGAGAGGGGCCCCGCGCTCCCCCTCCCGGCCCCCACCCACCCCGCCCCGCGCTGCTCTGGGCGCAGCGACGCCGGCCCGGCCACGGCGAGCCATCTGCGGGCGCTGCGCACCGCTCTCGCAGGACGCAGGTCTTCGTTGTCCCCGTGTGTGTGTGTGTGTGTGTGTGTGTGTGTGTGTGTGTGTGTGTGTGTGTGTTTCCATTTCCTAGATACAGCTGATCGAGTTTGCCGAGTGGCCGAGCGAGCAGGCGCTCCTCGGACTTGGGTGCAGGAAGGCACGGAAAAGTCTTCTGGAGACAAAGTGGGGCTTTTAGGGGTGGCGGTGGTACAGAAGGAAGGAGTGGGGAACCCACAAATCATCTCATTGAAAAAGCGGTCCTGGTTAGCATCCATGTCACTCTTCCTTTTAAAGAGGAGGTGGACGATGAAATTCAGGTAGGTTTGGGATAAAAATGATAGGTGCCGGAGGTTTCACACTGAGCTCACTACATCTGATATGAAAAGATCAACGTTGGCTGAATCTCAGTCAATCACCGTCAAAATTATTAGGAACAAGACTGCTTACCCCCGCTTACCTCTAACAATATTATTTGGATTACGGGTAGAGCACCTATTTAAAAATACATGTCATGAACATTATCTCGCGACGACCCCCTCCTGTCTCTGTGTCCCCAGACCGACTAGATAAAGCCATCTAACACAGGACGGGCATGATTTTGACCCCCGGGTAACAAAGTTTAGAGTTTCTTAGGCAAGAAATGGCAAATGCTAAAATCTCGGACTTTAACTTAAAACTGAAGAAAGTTCATTTTGGCTTGACATAGCTGAGAGGAAAAAATAACCAGCACAGGTCCTTTAGATAATGCGGCTTTGGGTTTTGCAAACTAACAGACACTGAAGACAGAGCCTCCAGCCGCAGCTAGACGGTCTCTTTGGCTGGGGACAGTCAACGGCTTTTAATAAAGCAGCTGTGTTTATGATTTAAAGATCCTATAAAAGCTAAGGCTTGCGCTTGCTGGGAAGTAGAAACGTTCATACCTACTCCATTAGATGTACGTTTTTCAGGTTGGAAGGGAACAAGTAGTTTTCCTGTGTCTCTTAAATTTAATCAGAGCAAAGGCTGAATCCTGGTTGTGACTAGCGTGTTTATGAGGTGTGTCACTAGCAGTACACTGGACTGGCCGACCACTACCATCTTCTTCTGCGACACAGCGGGACACCAGTCCTTAATAGGACATTTGCAATTTCAGTCTCAGATTCATCAAACTTTTAAAAAGATACAAGTCTTCTCTTTGAATTAGAATAGTGATGTATGTCCCAGTCTGTACTCCATAGGAAACTTTTGTCATGGAATTCACATATTAAGAAGAGGAGGAAGAAGAAGAGGAGGAGGAGATGGAAGAGCAGGAGGAATAATAAAGTCAACCAGGTTGGTGTCAGCAATGAGAAAGACTCACGGGAGCACCGCCAGCCTTCTATTCACCCCCTTCGCAGACACTGGCCTCCCTCCATGGAAACTAGAGGCGCCTGCTCTGGGCTCTCACCTCCAGCGACTGGCTATTGTGTGCAGTGCTCTAATGGGGGTGTGACAGTTTAGGCGGGGAATAACTATCAGCAAGCAAGCCCTAGATAGAGTGCAGAATAGTGCTTCTATTGGTTGGGGCCCTTCGAGTTAAGCGGGTGTGTTAAGTGGGGGCTCGAGGCTCTGAAAATGGGTCTGAGCCACCTTTCCCCCGTCCTATTTTTCTTTGCAAATCTGTAAGTTGACATAGGAGTTAGCATCTACCCACAAGTAAGACCGGTAGGAATAAGCAACGTATACCCTCCACACCTTAAAATCATCTGCTCAGCTTTTTAAATGACAGGCCTAGGAAAGAAAAGAAGGAGAAGGAAGAAGATAAAAGCCAAAGGGAGAGGGAGCGAGTTGGAGAGAAAAGATTAAGAGCCTGGAAAGAAATGGCTTCAACTTAAGCGCCCAAGTTTGTGGGGTTGCACCTAGCGCTTCTCTGCACCTTAAGCACATACCTTCCTTTTACACCCCAACTCAGTCCTCCATAACTCGGCCTGAGTCCAGTGGGGCGAACAGCCCGCTGGTCAAACAAGGAAACTCCCCTGCCCCCAGCCCGGGCAGCGGCGACTCGCGGCTCGCCACGCTCCGCAGGGGCGGTTCGCAGCGTGCCTTAGGGCGCAGGAACCGCGAGTTGGAATAGGAGCGCGCGTCGCCGGGTAAGGAGCGGGCTCGGTCTCCAGCCCAGCTCCGCGGGCGGCCCCCCACCGAGCCCGTGCTTTCACCTGCTGGCGAGGCGACGAGCAGGCGAGGTTCCAGGCCACCTTCCTGGCCAGCACTGCGGGGCTGTCCCGGGTCCAGTGGCCCTGGGAATAAGGCGTGAGGCCCAAGCCCCTATCTCGGCGACTCTTTTCTGATAGGGAAGAAGCAATCCGTCAGCCTGGAGACCAGAAGTCGCCGAGATACTGGCTCCATCTGCGAGGCCGGTGGCCAAGCTTAGGGTCAGGGGAGCGCAGCCCTTTCCTTGCCGCCCCGTGGCCGGCACAATTTTAGTAATTTAAAAGTTAGCACAAGTTGTGACAGACCGATCTTCTAACCATCCCCCTCGGTGTAAACTATGTTTATTAAGTGTCTGAAAGGCAATCCGTGCGATCTTAGTTCGCGCTTGCCGTTATCACCCTGTCAGGTTTGGGGCTAAACACACAGCCTTGACGTTTCCTCCTTCCGGTTCTTTCTTAAAGATATTAAGTAGGGGGTGGGAGAGAAGACCCCGTATGGAGGTAATTTAAAAGCTTCCAAACAAACATCCTCAGAGCCTCCAACCAATTCTCGGGATTTCACGTAGATTCCTCCAGGGGCTACCTTGGCTGTGGGTTTGGAAGAAGGATGGCCAAGAACATGCCTGTCACCCACTCACCCTTGCCACCAAGTGGATCACAAAAAGAGAAAGGAAACCTTCCTGGGGTGCAGGCCGGCCTGCTACAGGTCGGGGTGGCTGCCTGGCTGCTGGCCTCCCACTCCCTCAGCCCCACCCCGGGAGCACTGTGGCGCCCAACCCAGCCTGGATCTGTTCTCACTGGGGTGGAGGTGAAATGCCCCCAGTTCAGCAGCAGGAGCGGCTCCCGCAGCCTCTGGGGAACCCCACTGCCCAGAGCCTTGCAGTAAGGTTTGTTTAACCAACAGCTTTCAAAGTAAACAGAAGAGATCCTTCCAAAGAGCCCAAATATCACACTTAAAAGAATTTGGAGCAAAGGGTGCTAGCAGGGAGAAAAAGTAATTTTTTGAAAAAATAAAACCCCCGACCCCATAGAGGTGTCCTCCATTTTACTTACAGGAGCACAGAATGGTCAGAAAAGTATTAATTCATGAGGAGGAGAGACTCCTGCCAAGGTGACCTCCAAGAAAATCACTCGACCCCCACAAACACAAACCCTCCGTGGGTGAGAGAGAGGGTGTCGGTGATATAAGGTCCCATTACCACTTGGTTTTATGGAAGTGGACGAAAATAATCAAGGGAGTCGCATTCGCGTCCTGGAGAAGTAAGGAGCAGGCTGGGATCTCTTGCCGTCAGCCCTGGCCGCGCCTCGGGCACCGAACTTCCCAATATCAAGATATTAACAGATGGTGGTTAGCGCATGGAGGCTGTTACTTACATAATCCAGCCACTCCGCCTGGCCGCGCGGGGCCGGAGAGACGCCCGCCGGGCAGCCGCGCGCCTTTCGAGGACACGCTTGCTCCCCTCAAATAACTTGCCTTTCTCCAACCCTACCCCGCGCTTCACGGGCTAAGATTTGGAGAAGCCCAATTTTCTGTGTACAATATGCTCCCATCTGGTTGTGCTTTACCGTTCTTCAATCAACAATCGGGAAGAAGCTGGAGTAGCAAGATCAAAGAGAAGCAGAGGGGACCCCTTAGGGAAAAGCGGGGTGAGCCCCCCGCACCTGGGGGGGGGGGAAGAGTAGAAATTAGAGTTCACACCCTCTCCACCGCCACCACCGGCTCGGATTCGCCCATACAAAGACTGGCTGGGCGCAGGAGAGCGGGAGAGGGTGGCGGTGGGTGCGAGCACGCCTCTGCGCGCGGGGGCGCAGTGGGCAAAGTTAAAGCACAGCCTCCGGGCACTGCTGCCCTTCAGAGCTGGGGCAGGGTTGTCTGCGCTCGCTCCTGCGTCCCGGGAGCTCTTTCCCGTGGCGTGTCCGCCTTCGGCCTGCACACCCGGGTCACCGCCGTAGCCCCACCTCCCCGGTGGCCTGGGCACCCCCGGGGTGCGGAGCCTTCTCCCCGATGGGGACTCTGGGTTGCCAAAACCTGCGAGGACTATGTTTGCATGTGTTGGAAAACTTTCAAGACGAGCGGGAAGGCTGGATCCTGTTCGCTCGGCGGGAGCTGGGCTTCTTCGCCGCGGCTCCACCCGTGTCCTTGTCCCTCCCTTGCTTAGGGCCGCGCGGGGGGAGGAGGGGGTCGCGGTCTCCTTCTGCCGCAGCAAGCGAGCCCCAGGAGCGGCTGCGGCATGGTCCCCGCGGAGGGAGGTTGCGCCCCGCTGCCCGCGCCTCCCACAGGGCTCTGGCCCCCGCTGTCCCCGCCCCTCCCCTCCCTGCCTCTGGGGCCGCAGCCCGGCTCCCCCGCCCCGGCTGGGCGCATGCTGGGGCGCAGAGGGCGGGCACCTGCTCTCCGACGCAGCGGAGGGGCAACGTCGCTGCCACCCGGCCCGCGCAGCTCCCGCAGCTTCCCTGCCCGGCGCCGTCCTGTTGCTGCGGGGTCGCTCGTCCCCGCCGGAGGACAGGGACCCGGGGGAGGGGAGGGCAGCAAGATCCTGGGAGCGCGCGCAGGGCGGGGGCGGCGGAAGGGCTGGAAATCTC